ATCTGGATGTTCAGAGGGCAACTGTGAGTGGAAGGGAGTCCTTGTCTTCCTGGGATTCCCTGAGATTTGTGCCCTGGTCACCAAGGACCCAGTTGCTGAAGTCTGTGTTCCCAAAGGAATAAAAGGAGAAACTGGTAATTAGTCAACTGAGCAAAGCAGATGGTCTGATTTCATGCCCACCTGAAAGTAAATGTTTTGGACCTGAACTCTTAAGTGTGGCTGAATTAACCAGATAACAATCAGGCCTGCCCGCCCCCCCCCCCCCCATAGAACCATGGAGGCTAATTCTCCCACAGCTGAGCATAGTGTGAACAAATCAAAAGTCAAAGGTCAAAAAAGTTCCAAAGGTATTTTGGAATGTCCCAGAGGCCTGTTGGTCTTGTGTCTATGAACATTCCAATACAGGAAATCTGCTCCCAATTCCCTTGTGCGAATGGGGGTGACAATTAGGAGAACAAAGTGGGCGACACTTGAAAACACGGCACCAGTGATTCTGATATGGCACCCTCCTCATACACCCCAAACCTCCTGCCTCTTTTTGTGCAATTAATGCACAAAACCAGGGAATGAGGAAGGGGGTGTGGAGCATATCACGCCCCACCCAGGTAGACTGAGCCTAGTACAGGGCCTGGCATGGAGTCGCTGCTTAAGATAGCTTGTTGGATGGATGGGTGGATGGATGGATGGATGGATGGGTGGACGGAAGGAGGAAGGGAGGAAGGGAAGGAGGAATACACAGAGAATTTACAGTCAGGGCATGCATAAAGGACACCAGGGAGTTTAGCTGCTTTAGCATCAGATGCATGTGTGAAAGTGGCAGGAGGTGAACTTCTGAAGGTGTGACAGCTAACTGTAGCAGAAACAACACTTAATGAGCACTTGGTAAGTGCCCAGGCACCACGCCAGGTGCTTTCCATGCCCAGGACTCAAGTCCTGTCTGCCGCACTGCTGCCTCCCTGGTTGCCAGCATAAGATGGTGGGGGGGGGGGCACTTCTCACAAGGGTCTTTCCATCCCTTAACCTTCCCCAGCTCACATGGCTGGATTCCAGCCTGAGCATAAGCTGTGTCTACCCAGAATTAGAATGTGTCAGGGTGCATTCAGGAGAGTCTGGGAACAGGTGGCCAAGCATCTGTTGTTTGAAGGAGCAAGCTGCCCACCAAACATGAGTCTTCTAAGGCAGATGGAGTTGAAGCCCTGAAAGGGTCTCAGATGGTTCCCTCAGGGTTGGAGGTGACAGGAGATTTGGGTACAGCTGGCTTTTGTCTCTAAGATAGCCCTCTGGCTCTTCTCCCGTGGTTCCAATATCCCTTCGTTCACCTGTTCATTCACTCATTTGAGACGCAAGTATTGAGTACCTATCATGTACCAGGTTCCGCACCAGGGAAGGAGTCCTAAAGGGGGAGGCACAGGAAAATCTAAAGGGGGCGGTGTCTCTAACATCTCTGAGATGGGAACACAAGTCCCCTTGGGGCCTATGGTACAGGAGTCAACACACAGATGGGGAGGGGGGTTGTCCCACCTCTGTGGAGCACACAGTGTGGCAGGGCACCCTTGACCCACACTCCACGGGGAGTGGCAGGCCCCAGCACGGGGAAGCAAGTTCACAGGTGCACAAGGGAACAGTCATGGGACACCCTGGGGCACACCAAGGGTGATGGTGAGTGCAGTCCCAGACCACGTAGAAGCTTAGCTGCTGGAAACCCAGTGCTCTTACACTAGAGTGGCAGAAACAACCTGAAAAATAGTGTTTGTTGCTTCCATTGTGGCCCTAATTTATACCCAGCAAGTATGGCGTGGGAGACACAGGCTATACTTACATTATGGTCGTTAGGAATTATAGAAGGTTGGGGGCGCCTGGGTGGCTCAGTCGGTTAAGTGCCCAACTTCGGCTCAGTTCTAGAGTTTGAGCCCTGCATCAGGCTCTCTGATGTCAGCATGGAGCCTGCTCTGTGCCCCCCTCTCTCTGCCCCTCCCCCACTTGTGCTCTCTCTCTTTCTCAAAAGTAACATAAACACATAAAACATTTTTTAAAGGGGATTACAGAGGAGTTTTCAAATTGAGGTGAAATTCACATAACAAAATCATTTTAAGCCGAACAATTCCCAACATTGTGCCATCGCCACCTGTACCCAGTTTCTCAAACATCCGAAAAGAAAGCCCCATCCCCATTTACCACTTGCTCTCCGCTCCCTCTTCCTCAGCTCCTGGAAACCACCCATCAGCTTTCCGACTATTTCGTATAATTGAGACACAATATGTGACCTGTTGCGTCTGGTTTCTCTCACCTAGTGTAATGTTCCCCTCGTTCATCCACTTGGCGGCATGTTTCAGCACTTCACTCCTTTCTTATGGCTGAACACTATTCCATCGATATACCACAACTTGTCAATTCGTTGATCTGTCGATGGATAGTTGGGGAGTTTCTCCCTTTGGGCCACTGTGAGGAGTGCAATGAACACTTGTGTACAAGCATTTGCCTGAATCCCTGCTTTCATTTTTTTTGGAGTGGGATTTACTGAAGGGAAATCATAGCTCTTTGAGCTAGAGTGAACTCTAAGGTCAGTTCTTCCAATTTTACACACAGGGAAACTGAGGCCGTTATTTGCCCTGCTGTGGGCCACCTCCGTGTCAGGATAGGAGGTGTGGCCAGAAGCCAAGGCTCTTCCCTTGTCTGTTGCTCACGGTATGGATTCCAAGGTGCCACCTGCACATGATGTTTATGGGGTGGGTGAATGAAAGAAAACATTTACCCCTGGTTTCTAAAAGTATTACCCACTAGGAAAAGGGAAGTGCCCCTTATCCCATTTCAAAGGTTCAAAGGATCTTGAGGTCGGAATAAAATGAGCCCAGCAACCACTTCCCTTGGAAGAGACAAACGCAACCAGAGTGGGATCAGCAGGTGCTTGTCACTCCATTCCCTAACCTGTCCCCTCCTGGCTACCTCGGCTTCTCCTCGTCACTTCCCGCAGTAGGGGGTGAAGTTGGCTGTGCCTCAGTGAGTCACCGTGGCTCAAGGAGAAGGGGGCCAGCTCACCCCTCAGCCAGAGCCTTGTAGGAGCCATACTCATGGAAGAATGCCCTCACTGGGCAGAGCCAGTGGGCTCAAGCCCACTCGATAGACCAGCTGCTGTCCCATTGGGCTCTATTGGGCTCTCATGGTACCAAACGATTCCATTTTGCAGGGCATGATGTGGTCCCCAGGACTTCCTGCCTGGGAGGCGATAGGAGGTCTGGGCAAAGGGTCTGTGGTAGTAGAACCTCAGAGGGGACCAGGCAAAGGCAACACCACTGGCAAGAGAGCCTAGTCTGTTGGCCAGTGAGCATGTGGCCAAGGGTTACAGGGCACGGTCAAGCTCCTTCCTTGCCCTTTCACCTCCTCCATCAGCAGGACTGTTGAAACTTAGGTCAGCTGCACAACGAGGACAGCTACCCTAAGGACAGTGCTGCTAAGGAGCAGGGAGGGGCTCGGAGCTCCCCCCCCCCCCCCCCCCCGCTCCCTTCCCCCTCCTGTCCCTGACTGGCCCTGGCCTGGTCATTTGACGTCTGGGGGCCCCTGATCCTGCATCCGTAAGGGAAGGAACTGTCTCTGTACCATTCCTTTAAGCTCTGAAGGGCCCTTGGCAGTGACCTCCACACCCCGGCAGGTGTGTACCTCACACTGGATGTGGGACAGCAGGCTGTGGCTGACAGCGGCACCGTGTAAAGCGTGGTGAGCTGTCCCGACTCACAGGCTGCCGTGGGCTGGGCCGGTCCCCGTCATGATGCACACAGCTAGCCTCCGAGCCCACAAGGCCGGAGCAGCCACAGAGCCCACGCTTTTCTCAGACTGGCTGTCACCCTGTCCACCGTTCCTCTCCTGCCTCTGTCACTTCAGAGAGTCCGGATGAGCCCGCGGGCTCGCTCCCGCCTCCTTTCCCACTCAGATTCATGTCTCCTTTCGTCCACTCGTGCTCTGTGTAACCTCTCACCAGTATTACTGCAGCCTTCTTGGGAGCCAGACACCGGCAGACCTACAGCCCTCCCTGGGGAGCCCACGGCGGGGACAGCCAGGCAGCCCCGCGCTCGGATAAACACACTCTGGAGGGTTACATCTGAGGACAAGGATGCTCATCCAGAATAATGGGGCAGCAGAAAGGAATGGCTAAGCCTGTTGGGCGGGGCTGAAGAGAGGATCAGAGGCACCTTAGAGGACGTGGCCTCTTGGGGAGCAGAGAGGACAAACGCCTAGAGGCCCTGGACAGGCTGGCCATGTGGGAACACCTGAAGTGCAGGTAAGAAGCCACATGCTCCCTGCACCCTCCGACTCCCACCCCAGTCCCAGCCAGTCCCCAGCCCCCCGCCTACAGTGGCTGTCTCCTTCCTGTCTCTACAGATCCACAATTAGCATTTCGCCACTCCTGATGCTGATGGTTTGCCCTTCTACGACAGATCCCCCGAGGCCCTGGACCTCCTCTCGTATTCTGGTGCCTTCCAGAATCAGGGCTGGGCATGGGACAGCTGGCAAATGGTGCTCCAGGCTGCGGTCCTTCCACCAAGCAGGCGGTCCTTCTGTCCTCGAGCACGTGGAGCAGCAGCAGGGGACAGCAGGATTCCAGCTTGCCCTGGGGACTGACCCCCTACAGAGATACCACAGAGCTTCTCCTCTTACTTGGGGTAAGGTCCTTGAGGCGCATGCACAACAACAGCTAAAATTACGGATCTTCTTTTTTTTTTTTTTAATTTTTTTTTTTCAACGTTTATTTATTTTTGGGACAGAGAGAGACAGAGCATGAACGGGGGAGGGGCAGAGAGAGAGGGAGACACAGAATCAGAAACAGTCTCCAGGCTCTGAGCCATCAGCCCAGAGCCTGATGTGAGCCTGACGCGGGGCTCGAACTCACGGACCGCAAGATCGTGACCTGGCTGAAGTCGGACGCTTAACCGACTGCGCCACCCAGGCGCCCCAAAAATTACGGATCTTCTTAATGCAAATGTTCAAGAAGCAGAGTAGAAACCTACCTGCAATGAACACGAGAGCTCAGGGGCCAGCGCTCAGTCCCAGGGCAACTCAACAGCCTCACTTCCGGTGAGACTTGGCAAGGCTCCCGGCCCCGAGAGACGGGCCCTGCAAGCTCACAGCACAGGGGCGCGGAGTCTGTACTTGTGACTCTGGTTTTCTGATGCTCAACACCTCTGGAACGCCCCACGTCATGGCGGGCAAACACATCTGATGTAGCTGTGAAAGGGAGGCGGTTCTGTGGCTGATCTGAAGGCTATGATTCTGCTTATTCTAAGGACTTCTTTCCAACACCCCCATCAGGGTCCTCCTCCCAGGTTCTTCACTCAGTCCCTGCTCCCCAGTCTCGGCATACTGCCCGCAGTTCAACAGGTGTCTGACGTCAGGTTCAGTTCAGCAAAACGTTTTGAACTCTTACTCTGTTCCAAAGACTCGAGACCTGAGCCATCCCACATGGGAGCAGCGAGCCACACATGGCTAGTGGCACATAAAATTCAGCTAGTCCAATGAAGATGGGCCGTGGGTACAAAATATATGCCAGATTTTGAAGATCTGGCACCAAAAGAGTGGAATACAGCATTCATAACTTTATATGAATTATATATCGAAATAATAATGATATTATTGAGGAGACTGGGTTCACTAACATACAACACTAAGATTAACCTCACCTATTTCTTTTTCTTTTTTCAGTATGACCACTAGGAAAACTTTAAGGTGCAAGATGTTTCTGTAAGACAGCGCTGGTCTATATACCCAGGGAGGCCAGGAGAAGAAAGTTGGTCCTCACCCTCAGGCTTCACCAGGGTTTGGGGCCCTGGAGTGTTCCAAATGAGTTGACATGAAAACAGCGTCAGGGCACCTGGGTGGCTCAGTTAAGTCATGACTCTGTCTGACTCTTGATTTTGGCTCAGGTCAAGATCTCACAGTTCATGAGATTGAGCCCCACGTCGGGCTCTGTGCTGACAGCCCAGATCCTGCTTGGGGTTCTCTCTCTCTCTCTCTCTCTCTCTTTCTGCCTCTCCCCGACTTGCGTGTGCGTGTGCGTGGGCGCGCTCTCTCTCAAAATAAATAAAATTTAAAAATAAAATGAGATGAAACAGCCCCACAAGGCATTTGTTTTCCACATAATTATGCACCATCCCCTTGCACCACCTGCTTGGAGAAGATTCCAACACACCAAATTTCATACAGGGCAACAGAGCGTTAAGGTATCTGGGGCCAGATGTGGGGTCTGATCTATCATTTTCCTCCGCAGGTGAGGCAACAGGTAAAAGTCTTCCACACCAGTCTCCGGACACGAGCACATTGTTGGTCGTGCTGTAACTTTCCCGACCCACCTCCGTGACTACCAATCACGTCACTTATCTGCAGGGACCCAAGACGGAATGGAGCCGTCCCTCAGGTTCTCAGCAGAGAAGCAGCAAGCTCAGAGAAGGGCTAGAATCCGGCTGAGAAGGGAAGGGCCATGCAAGCAGTCTCAGCTCCTTGGCTGTCCTCTGGGGCGTTTGGCTGCGGCGAGGTACTGGTCGGGGGGAGGTGTACCGCGTGATCAGATACTTGGAAAGAAAGAGGAAGTACAGACAAATCGCGTGCTCTGAGTCCCTTCCACAGGCCGGACATGGTTTTTATGTAATCCCCCTACCCTCCCCACAACCCTGCTAGGTGGGTGTGGGCTCAAATTATGGACAAGAAAACAAAGGCTCAGAGGCTTAAGTGACCCAGCCTGGTGCACTCCCCACAGAACGCTCCCCACAGAAAGGATCTGACGCATGAAATTGTTGGAGGGTGGGGCCTGGCCGAGAAATCAGGCCATGTGTCCTGGATTCAAATTTCATGAACTAGGCGATCTTGGACAAGTGCTTTCCCTTCTTAAACCTCAGTTTCCTTAAAGAGAAAATGTAGCTATTGGTGGACAAGGCTAGTGTTTCTCTCACTTGTGAAAACCATAAGTCACCATAGCATTTTTTTCTTCGTGACCAGGAAATAAACCTGTGTGTGTGTAAAACTGAACGAAAAGCTTGGTTGAATATTTACGTTAAGTGCATATGAGGAAGGTTGATATTTTCTATTCTGTTCTGTTTTTCTATCTCTCTGTATCTTTTTCAGCTGGTGGATTGCCATCCGCTAGATGAATCAAATGACCCACATGAGGTTGCCACCTACAGTTTGAAAAACATGGTTCTAAATGATTGATTTCCAAGCACCTCTCCAGAACTAATAACCTGAGGGTTTGTAACTGATGCCAGACTGAAAATCTGTAAGAACCTCGGTCTCTCTTTCCTTCTCAATATTCCTCCTTCCCTTCCAACTCCCTTTCCCCTCCTCTCGTGCTCCCGCCACCCCCACCTCCTCAACAGGCTAAGCAGAGAATTTACCATGTTTCTCTCCACCCAAGGGCACCCTGGCACCAGGGAGGGACAAGAGGAGGCCGCTCTACAAAACGGTGCCTCTGACCCCCAGATCTTCCTTTCTGGAGGCCATTTGCCAGGACACAGAAATCTCTCTATTACAACGGAATGCTTCTCCGTAATGGACTTTGTTGGAACAGGGCTTTGCCGCCCAATCCAGCAGCAAAACATGTTTCAGAGCCCAGAAAAAAGATGACATTGAGAAGTTCTCCTGATTGTAAACGGTGCCTGTGGAAGGCAGTCCAGTTACTCCTTCCGATCGTGAGGCTATAAAGTGCCTTGTTTTAGCAACCCCTTCCAGGAACTTCTTCTTCCTCCTACCTTGTCGCTTCAGTGGCCCAGGACGAGCAGGTGGATGTGCCCTGATCCCACACAGCGGATGCCGAATTGTGTTGGCAGAAGCAGACCTTTAAACACAGCCGAGATATCTGTCTGGGGGTTCTTGCGGGGACAGCCTTAACCTCCTTGCTGCCAAGTGCCTGTGGAAAGCCTCTACACCCAAGCATTCTAGAAGCTTCTGAGGGTATGAGGCCTCCTCTGCGTCCATTACCCCTGGGGGGATGTCCCACTATGAAGTGTGGTGTTGGGAGGCAAGCGGCAGCTAAGGAGGGTGGTGGCGGCGGGGGGACAGGGAAGGACGGAGCCCAGCAGAGGCTCAGCTCTCAGAAGGCAGGGAAGGGAACTGGCGGCCAGGAGCGGAGCTCACTGGGGGGCAAACACACGTCGTTCTCTCCCGACTGCTGGCTGTTTTGGGGACCCTCCCTCTACCTGTTGCCTCGACTGGGTAAATGCCTGTGTTTCATTTCTTTTATTTCAATTGTTATCTTAGGACCTATTCCATCCCGGCCCTGGGTTAACTCTCTTAGAAGTGGCATCAGGTGACTCTTCTGGTCCTGGCCAGTGTTTCCTCACTGCTCCTGTGTCCCTCGGGGCTGACTCCCATGGGGGCCACAAATCTGAACTTCACTGCGGCCTTCAACATACACCTGGAGACCCCAGTGGGCTGTGAGCCAGGGATGAGTGAACTGCTCAGGCCCCAGCATCAGGTCTTGGCTTGCGCTGATACAGATTTAGACCCAGCATGGCCAAAATGGGCTTCTTGGGACCCTCTGGGCCAGGGCCGAGCACTCTCCCATGCTTCTTGGATTCCTCAGAGGTCCTAGTTTGCAGCACCTGGCAGGACACAGGCAGAAAAGACGGCTGCTTGCATGGGGTGTGGTTTCAGGAGCCGGGAAGAGCCTCTCTCACCCTAATCCCTTTCCTACTGTGCCCCCAAGCCACCTTGGTTGTCTGATGCCCATAATTCCACAATCAAACCTTCATTCCTTTGGAGCAAGCCAAACTTGGACTTTAGCCCATATTAAAATGCCCATCCCTGGGAGTGGCATCATTAAAATCTTATCAGTCACTTATCTCTTAGAATGAATAAGTTCATTCAAATAAACTCAGCTGAACTCAAGGGCGTCGTTTGTGTCTGGGCCTCTGCTGGGCCTCCAGGGGGGATGGGAAGGTGCGAAAACATAGTCCTTGCTTCCAAGGCCCATAGGCTCCTTCCTGAGAGCAGGCTTTGAGGAAGGGATAGGAATGTGCCAGACAGAGGAGGAGGAGGGAGAGGGAAAGAAGAAACCCATTTCTGCACCCAAGCATGTTGTGATGCACGCCCAAGGGACTTGTCACTTCCCCCCCTCCCCCACAGAATTTTTCTCACCAGAGAAGTCTGGCACAGGCGCATAGCAGACAGGAATTCATGCTCCCTAAACAAAGGTGAGCCGACCACAGTTGGCATTTCTGCTCTGCTATGTATCAGCCGTGACTCGGAGTAAGTGACGTAACAAGCTCTCTACGCCCGAGCGTTCTCATCTGTCAAATGCAGAGAATAACAATACCCACCTTCTAGGGTTGTTATGAGGATTGAAAGAGTTGGTAAGCCTGATGGACTTATCATTCCCTAGTAACTTCCAGAATCACTGCACAGAGATGTAATTGTCTCCTGCTTCAACAGTGGGCCCATGTATGCTGCTTGCTCCCAGATAAGATCACGGACAAGGTAATGAGATGTCATGTATCGAGGCACTGGTTTGCATGTCCCAGTTTATTATAACAAGGCAGGAGAGGCAGCAAAGGCTGGGAAAGACTCTAAAGTTTCCTTCTTTCTTTCTTTAATTAAGAGAGAGGGAGAGAGAGAGAGAGAGAGGGAGAGAGAATGTGAGTGGGGGAGAAGGGCAGAGGGAGAGAGACAGAATCCCAAGCAGGCTCCACACTCGGCACAGAGAGTTAGGATGTGACTGCAGGCCAGAGTCTAAACCCCATGCTCCCTTCACTGAATTATGCTACCTTGTTAAACATAGAATTTTATTTTTATCGGCACATACGTATTTGATTTTAAAATGTATACACGTCCGTGAATAAAATTTGGAAGGTAAAAAAAAAAAAAAATCACGTTAATAAAAAGAAATGGACACCTCTGTTGCTACCTCCTAAAAGCAATTCCTGTTAAAAAGGAGTTGATAATGTGAGTACCCGGCCTGGCCGGGAGGATGTGCTCAGTCTACATTAGCCAGCATTAGTATCTACTGGTAAATCTCTTCAGGGGAAACCGGGTGTTGGCTATGTTGAGCTGGGCTTCGGGCTCAGTGTAAGGAATGCTGGTCATGGACAGATGCTAGGACCTCTTACGGAGGTCTGGGATCTTCAGAGACCCCTCCCTGCCCTGGCCAGTGTCCAGGGCAGGTTCGGTGACTCTGGCCCAGGTGGGAGGCCTCTGAGGGGCTCTGGCTCCTTCTCCAGGATCCCCGGCTTTTGTGCTGACCATGAGTGGGCTGTCTCAGCCAGAGGTGATCAGAGGCCGGGCCACTGATGGGTTAGCGCTTGTCCCAGGCAACCTGTGGTTGTCCCAAGAGGGGCACGCTGGGCAGTTAGGCTGCCTCTCTTCTCTCCCTGCACTAGGGTCTGAACACTGCTGGCCAATTCACCTTCTCAGCAGACAACTTGGATCATGCCATCCTCTAGCTCCAACACCTTCAATAGGTTGTTGGTACTTTGGACCGACTATGGGTACTTGGTACTTAGTACTTCACCCATGGCATGAAGGAGAATCCCTTAACCTGGCATTCACTCTGCCCCCACCTGCTCCCTGGGCGTTTCTTTTTCTCACTGCTGTTCCCACCTAATAGCCCCAGCGAGCACTCGCTGAGCTCTGAGGCTGTGCTCTGAACTGCTGAACAACCTTGTGAGGTAGGTACTATTACTACCCTCATTGCATAGATAGGGCACTGAGTCACAGAGAAGTTAAGAAACATACTCAAGGTCACCTAGCTAGCTGGCGGAGCTGGGATTGAATCCCAGGAAGCCAGGCTTCAGACCTGCTGTTCCTATTTGCGGTCCCATGGGGCCACACCCAGGGATCTGTCAGTCTGGATCACTTCCTGTTCCCCCAACACCCGTGCATGGTCCTGCT